TTCGTCTCTTCCAGATATCTCACGAATCCGGCAGCTTCCCAGAAAACTGTAAATTTGCTCATGTCAAACCCATCACAAAAAAGGGTCTAAGACCGCCCCCTACAACTACAGACTTTCTTTTTGTTGTAAGAAAGGTGATGGAGAGGTGCATAAATCGCGAGCTTATGAACCACCTCGAACGTCACGGCTTGATTAGTGACAGGCAGTATGGTTTTTGGCACCAGCGATCCACAGGAGATCTCCTAGCTTACTTTACGCAATTGTGGAGTAAACTCACCCAGTCTTATGGACTGAGGTATGCTGCCCTTTGATGCAAACTTCTATCCTATGAACTCCCAGAGAAGCTTTGCAGATGGATGGCTGACTTTCGGGCCTCGAGATATCGGTCTTAACTAACGGGACCTCGTCTTCATCCCACAACGTCAACGCTGGAGTTCCCCAGGGATCGGTCTTAGCTCCAACACTGTTCCTCTTACATATTAACGATCTCCTTTCCTGTACGATCAACCCAATCCACAGTTTTGCTGATAACAGCACTCTACATGCAGGAATTCACTGCGATAAACCGGTGTCGGTGAGCTGGACAAAAGAAGACTAGAGACGACTTCCTCACTGCTTGGGGATGCAACAATCTTGTACAGTTGAATGCTTCCAAAACTCAATGCTGTATCTTGACGAACAAAAAGCGTCCTAGTGCTCATCCGGTTTCGATGGATGGCCGAGTTCTGCCAAAGAGCCGTTCATTTCGGCTGGTCCGAGTCCAGATCACCGAGGACTTGATCTGGCACGAAAACATCTAGTCAATAGCGGTAGCTGCTGGGGAAAAGCTAGGCTATTTGTGTACGGCTAAGAAGTACTTTTCGCCAACCAGCACCTAGGAAAAAAGTACTATTCTCCGCATGACCTCCTTACTCTATACAAGGCCCAGATAAGACCTAGCCTCGAGTATTGCTCACACGTAGGACCCCAACAACATTATATGCTCAATGCTGTCCAAAGGACTGATCGATGACTCTTTTCTAACAGATAGTCTCGGGACCCTTTCGCACCGGCGGGCCGTCGTCCATCCAGCTCTCTGCTATCACTGGACCAACAGGCTTTGCTGCTAAGATCTCTCCTCCATAATTCCGCCGCGCGATGTGCCTGCCAGACAGACCCGCCTGACTTCGGCCTTCCATCCTAACCGTGTCGAACTTCGTACATCCAGAACTGGCCGCTTTAGCTGACTAAAATTAAATTCAATATGGATGGCAGTACATCAGTTCTCATCAATGTGTGATAAACTAAAGTCTTTCAGCAGGAACCTACACAACTAGTGCGACAGTGACTCCACCTGTTTACGTTTCTTTTGAGTAACCAGTGATACTAAACAGGAAGCCTATCTAGAGAAATCGCATAGTGAGATCTCTCAGCTATACCTGTCCAGCTGCCAAAAGATAACGGTCAAAAACACTACCTATTTACGATAAAGGTCAAAGATCAGTTAACAGGCGACATTAAGGCGGCTCCGACGCAGTGAGTTTCAAGCCATTTACAAGGGTTCAGCTGCTTCAAAGCTGACACTCCATTTTTCAATATTTTTCAATGAAATTCATGCAGTATGTTGAGAAGATAAATTGCCCAGGGTGCTACAGGAACACTTTTTGAAATTTTGTTTTTGCACAAGTTTTATGATGGGTTGAAGTGCGCACTTTTTCTGTTCAACTTCGCGGTTTTTTTTAAAAAGAACCTAGTGAAAAAATGAAAAAGTGGTTCTATAGCACCCTGTGGGGTTTTGTTTTCAGCACACTGTGAAAATTTCATCCAGAAATATCAAAAAATAAAGCGTCAATTCCGAAACGCGCAAACCTCTACAAATCGTATTTTGGACGAATTTTGTCAACTGTTTCGTGCTGCCAACACAAGCGTTGTGGCGCAATGTACGGACTAGCAAACGACGTATTCAGATAACTTGGTGGCCCTATTTCATATAATATCGCTTAGATAAGTCGTTCTGCAAATAGGTACTCATAATCGCGATCGCTGATACTCCTCGATTTTAAATCCGTTTTACTTCCCACGCCATTGGCGAGGAAGTATTGTAATCGCGAAAAATGTTTAAAATGAGATGTTATGTTTTTTTAAGTCATATGGCATCTACATCACGAAAAACTGTATCACTCATCATGAACTTGGAAATTACCGCTCGGATTTTTATGAAATTTCCACACTGCCAAAGCTTTGTAGTTCTACTCCAGTAGCAAAAAAGAAATAGTAACAACTGCTGAAACTCCGTTTTTGACGTTTCAGGGGTTCCTAATCATTGACATAAAAAAATTGTACTGCTTAAAAAGGGGGGGTTGAAATCAGTGAAATACGTTCTATTATTAAGAAGCTTTTCATCCCAGTGATTACAGGAAATTTAAGTAACGAAAATCCGACGAATAATGTGCTCACGATTTGAAAAAATCTGAATCTGCTCTATAGGTTTGACACCAAGAGCCAACAGATCTGCAACTACCGACAGTAGGGAAGAATACATTCAGATATCACACCAGTCAAGTATAGAGGAATTTAGCGTGGAACTTTAAAATTATCGAAATGTCAAGGAAATATGTTCTTGAGAATGATAATTTGGTAGATTTTATACCTGCATTTTCATTTGAATTTCATGAGCCGCGAAATGTACCCATTTCGCCGTTACCTTCAATTTGTGTTCTGCAGTTTGTTATGTTTTTCTGGATATAAGCAGGACATAATTGCCTAGGGTGCTAAAAGAGCTTTTTACAAAATTTTGTATTTGCGCAAGAATTATGGTGTGTTGAAATGCTTAATATTTGTGCTCAACTTCTTGTTATTTTAAAAAGATCTTTGTCTTTAGCACGCTGCAAGAGTTTCATTTGGAAATAATAAAAATTAAACGTAAACTGTGAAGTGCAAATCGGTTTTTGGGCGAAATTCATCTACTGTTTCAACCTGCCAGTCCAAGCGTCGTGACGGTGCGTTCCGACTAAGAAAAAATGTATTCAAATAATTTTATATCTTTCCTAAAATAAATTCAAGAACTCAAATTCAAATTCGTTTATTCATGACAATAAACACAATTATGTTTACAAGGGTCATGTGGTAGATGGTAACAATTGAACGAGGGTCATAAAAATATCTTATGCAGTCAAAAGAAGAGGAAACAGTTAGGTAGTTTTTGCAAGGCAATAAATAGGTAGGCTTATACCTGGTTTAAGTACATGTCTTGTCTACTGTAATAGGTAGATGGAGGTGATGCTGCCAGAAATAGATGTGTGCGATCAATAAACAAACCACAAGATTGAACTGCAGTGTCCAATGGTTTTTGTATTGCCTTTTTTTTATTGCCTTACTAGAAAACTCTGTTGGGTATATGATGGAGTTTACTAGAACTTTACAGCTTGTTGTCTGCCTTCTTATACAAATTTTACCACATCGAGACGCTGTCAACCTTATCCTCCTTTGAAGACGCCACAAAGTACAGTCCTGTGATTTGGTGATTTGTTCGATCTGCAAAATCTCGTCGACACTTTTTTTAAGTTTCCCTGAAAATGTTCGCTTAGCAACCTACAAATCAATGTAGTTAATGACAGGTTTTTGACTAAATTCGCCATAAAACTATTCATTTTCTTTGGAATTGCTATCCGAATTGTTAGTTATCTTTATATCAGCTTTTTTTGGTATGAGTTTCTTTTCAAGATTCTTGCGTTTGAGTGTTTGTTCCATCTTACTGATAAGCGAGGCTGGACTAAGCTTAGCACGCAAATGTATTTGGACCATAGAGACAGGCCGCTGGGTATTGTGGCTCACTACAGCTGCAGCACATTTTCCATGGTATGACCTCTTCTTGCAAAAATTTATTCGCTTACCCCAATGTATTTTGCGATTATAGAGTTGAACTGCTCCACATAATTGTTGTCCTCATCATGAATTAAACTCACTGCATTCGTAATTAAAATTGTCGCATATGACCTTTTAATGTCCATTATCAACCTTGATAAAAAAGGTACTGAAGAACAATCACACCAACAAGAGTACAGCACAACAATTCAACAACACAATATCGACGAACAGTAACCAGCTTAGAACAATACTAAATGATCACTTGCTGAGAACCCAAATAGGAAACGATTTACAGGCTAGATCGCTAATCGAAATCCGACTCTGTTATTATAAAAATTTACCTCGGTACGCAAACGCAGTCATCCTTTCCTCTTTTAAAGTAGCGCCGACAACCGTCTAACACCTGCCCACCCTCGTTTCCTTTTCACCCCCCCGTTACCCCAGCAGATGGTACTCGTGATTGTAGGGGCCCCGTTAACTACCCTTTGAAATCTGGGTTGTTCACTATTTAAATCGACTGTTACGTAACGAGATATAAAACAGTGGGTTAACCCTCTCATGCATTGAGTCCACTGTAGTGGTCAGAATTTTCAAAGTTAAAAGGACACGTACCTTTCTAATTTTATTTAGCAAAATACATAAAGTCCCCTTAAGTGGACTCTAAAAGAATTTATTAGAGTGCCATCTATGAAGTAAAACCATATATAAGAATTTCATCTACAGGATGATTCATAAATCACCTGTTAGCAATGAAGGCAACTTGGTTTGGTGAAATTAGTGCTCGATCCTTCTATGGACGCCATAAAAAAAAGGTAAGTATTTGTTTCACTTAGTATAACCCCTAATGAGCACACTGTAATACCTATAAAATAATAATAAGGCATTAGATCATCAGAAAACGCCTTTTTGTTCATGGCCACTTCAGTGGACGTTATGCATGTTCTATAGAAAAACCCATTTTTGTTCATGGCCACTTCACTCGACGTTTGCATGTCCATATGGAGAATTCACGACTTTTTGTAAATATTCAAATGCAAATACTCCGATATTCTTATTCAATATAATAAATCATTGATATATTTTTTAATAAGCATTACTGAATTTATTGGTATACAGGGTTCACTATTTTTTTTTCATCAAATTGAAATTTTTAGAACGTTGTTATTGCCGATGATGATGATGAGGATGTCGAGAACAAAAATAAATTACCGCATACTCGGGAAACTTCTCTACAAAATGAGGAAGTCAAAGGTATTGAAAACATAATTTATGACTTACCAGACTGATCTGACTTGGAATCTGATGATGAAGATGAAAATGCAACTAACTTACATGTCACTGCTGAAAATGAAATACTAAAGAATATAGAGGTGGAAGATAGAGGCAAGTCGCTCAGTGAAGATGAGATATCATTAGCCCAGATAGTTATCCAGATGTAAAAGAAGAAAAGAGAAAAAAAGAGGTGGGAGTGGTTGAATAGACAATATGTTTGATCCTGCAACATCGCCTCGGTTTCTCGGAATAGAAAAAGTCAAAATTCAAATAGGAAATCGAATTGACTGCTTTTCTTCTCTTTTCACGGAGGATATCATGGATGAAATAGTATATCAAAGCAACTTGTACACTACATAAAATGACAAGCATAATTTTAGTTTGTCAAAAAGCGAACTTTACTCATTTCTGGGAATAAACTCAAACATAAGATATCTCCGAACCAGACTATACTGGTCCAGCGATGCTGGTTTGCGGATAGATTTGATTGCAGATGTCATGCCAGTGAATAGGTATGAATACATTTTGCGATATCTACATTTCGTAAATAAAATAGCGAATAGGACGCAAATATTAATGATAAACTGACAAAAATTCGTCCATTCCTTGAGAAAATTCAAAACAATTTTTTAGATGCTGAAGAACATCAACCAATTGATGAACAAATCATTCCTCTAAAAGCCATATTGGGAATGAAGCCATATTTACTCAAAAGCCTAAAAAATGGGGCGTAAAGGTTTGGGTACTTGCCGGAATCGGTGAGTCTATGTACTGTTTCGAGATTTATCCAGATGCCTCAGGAGGAAAAAATAAAATCAGTGAATATGGAACATGTGTGGAACATGTAGTTCTTTGTCTCAGCGATAATTTGGCAGATAAAAACCATAAGCTTTTTTGGCAATATGTTTTGTTCCATTCCTCTTATTGACGAAGTTAGAAAAAGGAAAATTTGGGCCAATGGAATTTTGAGATCGAATCGATTGCAAAACGCTGGTACTGTATTGAAATCAGATACTGTAATGAAAAAAGAAGGTAGCATCAGTTGCAACTACTGAACGCAATATTACAGTCACCACATGGTTAGATAGTAATGCCATTCATATAGCTTCGAGTTGTGCTGGAGTAGGACCTCAAAATAGGACAAAACGTTGGTGTAGATCTATAAAAAAAACAATTGAAGTGGCTAGGCCATTTTCCGTTTAGTTCTATAACCAGAATATGGGAGGTGTTTACCTTATGGATCAACTATTGGCGCTTAACCCTTTGAGAAGGAGAATCAAACGCTGCTACATCAAAGTTTTGATGCACTTTTTAGATGTAGTTGTTGTAAATGCATGGATTTTATACAAAAAAAAATGAAGAAAAGAAAATTGATCTTCTAGAATTCAAAGCTAGTGATGCACAAGCTTTGACAAATATTGGAAATAAAAGCGCCCAGATCGGCCACACCACCTACAACCCTAAAAAAAAACCAAATCGTCATGCTCCACCTGAAATAAGAGAAAGTAAATGAGGAAACTGGTCAAAATTGACAGATATAAAAACGCTAGAAGATGCCATTCTAACGCATGCAGAAGAAAAACAAAATATATTTGTAAGCGCTCTAATGAGTCAGTGTGACTGTTTTGAATATTTTCATTCTAGAAATGCATAGCGACCACAGAAGTGGACACGATTTTATTTAATTTTTTGTAAAAGTTCATCATTTTATGACATGTTAATACTAAACTTTGTTTAAGTTTTATAAATATATTAGTATTACAAATATATAAAAAATTTAAAGTTTTTATTTTTTTACAAAAATTATGCTCGAGAGGGTTAAGGTTATTTCGGTTTTCCACTATCAGATAATAGCCAGGCTCTCACAGCGGTTATTTAATGCCGTAAACACTCTTGTAAACAATAAAGAGATGATAATTTCAGTTATGCCTAACCTAAAACATAGATATTTTATTTGGTTGTTACATTGTTTGGCATTGGCTTGTGGTTAGTTTTAGGAAAAGTTTGCGAAGTAAAAGAAAATGGCCTGAAACATCAGTAGTTTTGAGAACAAAATTTACTTTTACGTAGTCCAGAGCACACATTGCAAATGGAATTTTTTTTGCTGTGCAATGATTTGTTTACCTTTTGACAGTCTATATATAGGTATATGCATCACACATCGAAAATTTAACGAATCCTCCAAAAATCAAGCGACATTCGAATTTTTTGCTAACATTAAACCTAATTGGTACCTACTGGCGGAAGAAATGTTCTTCAAACTCGTATAAACTGTATATGTAACCATAAATTTGCATAATCAATGAGCATTCTATGCAATTGTTAACTAAAAAAACAAGACATTTCTTCATCTGTTAACTGTCGAATGTACGCTACATTGCTACATAACTGAAGATGTTTACCAACCGAAAATAAAGAAACATACCCACTAGCCTCATTCATTGGCCAATTGGTGAAATTAATTTTTTGTCACAAGTCTCAATCTTTCAATAAACATACCTATGTGTATTCATTATTTTCATGCTATTTTAGAGGTGCTTTCCTGTTTTGTGAAATAGGTATGTGGTTTTCGAAAGATCAAAAATCTACTCAAATATTCGTATTAAACCGCACTCTCAGTACCCCGGTTATGACATGCCTATGGTGGCTGACAAATAACCGCCATCATAGGCGCCCTTAGGCATTTTTTGACTGTTCATCTTGCCAACATTCAGAGGATGTCATTTCATGAAAAGACTTTCAAGATTTATGTTTTTTCATCGTCGTTGGCTAGATGACCTCCGTTTTTATATATTTTTTTCCAAGATAGCGCCCAGCTGTCAATTAACACTGCAGACTACTCGACTTCACAAAACATGAATCAAATCCAAGCGAATAACCAAAATTTCTCTGTTATGTATCGCGGTTATAGTATTATGGTATATGGTTCAAGATGGCACACGGGTTGATGACGAATCGCTTGAACGCGGTTTTGTTGCAAGTTGTTTATTTTAGAGAAGCTCGAATATAACTTCTGATTATTTTTATTATCACTTAATAATCGGTGCTTTCTCGTCTATAACGGTGTATGGAAAGTTTAAAAAAGAAAACTTTCATAATATTAATGGGAGAAATCTTTTTTTTCAGAAAAAAATGTTTAATGATGGAGCCATGGCTTTGTAGCTATGATAACTTTCAATTCTCTAAACTTTTCCGCATGTCAAAGAAAACATTTATTGGTTTAGCAGAAATGGTAGGAAAAAGCGATGAAAAAAAGATATTAGCTGAACCGCATACAGGTGGACATCATCCAGTGAGTTTATGTGGCCATATTGTAATGTTTTTGTTTTATATGGCTACACAGGATACTCTGTTAAGCGTAGGAACTAGATTTAAAGTTTCTCCAGCAACAGTAATGATTATAAGGTACTCTACTTTATGCAAAAACTGAAGTCAGCCTGTATCAAGTTTCCCAAAAATGAAGCTGAAGTACAATAAAAATATCCAATACCCGGCAAAATTCTAACTTGTCACATGTCAAATAATAACCAGAAATATAAAACTACTCCTGAGTTGGGTAAATACCACAACAGGTATATTCTTTAATTCACCGGTTGAGCTACCTGTGCAACCGGATAGCCAATTTTGCGTCCTTTAATTTTCGCTTGAACGACCGGTTGTAGATCAAACTTGTCTTTATATTGATGGTGGATATGCCACCGGTGCCAACAGCATCCACCGACGTTCGGGCTCGGTTGATCCACGATATTGTAACCTCTACATTTTATCATTTTTTTTTATTCTACAGCATAGGAGTCGCGTGAAATTTAATGTTTCGATTTTCTGATTTTGTTCTGTTTTTATTCCTGTGTGTATGCAGGAATTTTCTCAGAAAATCCATATCGATGGTTCTTATTCGGGAAGCATCGACGATCTCAAATCAATGCCTCGTATTGATTTGAGATCGTCGATATCTGAAAATTTCTTGGTTTTCTGATTTATAGTTCTTATATTGATTCTCGGATCGCAAATTCTCTCCGCTGGATAACTTCTTCATCCGAATGATCACTTGAATCGCTTAACAAACGTTCCACGACAATACCAACTGCTGCGTACATTGCCATAATGATTTTAAATGATACGGTGTTCAAATTAACAAGTATCCATTTACAATAAAACAAAGGTTAGGTTTTGACAACAACCTGAAGGCTAAAAATGCGTCTTTTTATTAACGACCATTCAACGGAACCGGTTGCTGACGCCATCACATCAGCTGTCAACCATAAGTTCACCGGATCCATCAGTGATGGAATCAACCGGTGAATTAAAGAATATACCTAACTTTGCGGTGATAACTATGACATATAACAGCTGACTCATGACGTCACGGATCTTATAACCAACCTGATAACCACACTCGCTTGAACGGATCGGTAAATACCAATCCAAAATGGTAAATACCATTGGTTATCCGCTTGAATTTGATTATATACTTGATTTCTGCAACCATGAATGCGTGTAGTTGAGTCATTCTTCCATAAAAAAACGTGGAATGAACTATTTGCACGCTAAAAAATACCTAGTCTGTAAGATGACATTTTATAGGTTTTTTACATAATAACGCGTATTCGTGAAAACAAGGACACGCTGAGGTACTGGCCCTCTTAGTTCATTCAAACATTGTTCTAACAGTTCAAAGGACGAAGTGACTGTGTGTTGTGATTTTGTGAATAGTGACATATCAAGTTCAGGTCAAGGTTCGATCAATCAAACGTTGAGGGTTTTCACTGAATAACTTTTATTGTTTTTCTGTAATGAATGTCATGTGATGCATTTTCTGACCCTTATAATCACGATAATAACTCTCAAGTCAAAAATAGTCGGATGAGATATGCTTATTATCAATAGTTTAGATAAAGTTAGACGTAACATAGAGTCAAATATCTACAGAGGTGTGACGCCTCCAGATACTGGAGGTCGTTATTTCCCCGAATATGGACACGGGCGTGACTTCCAAGCGGTAGGATGCTACCGTTGTTCCATGAAATGTGATGTGATTTCTGATAATATAATTGAGGAATATCATGGTCACTATTGCGTTGTTTTATAACCAGTATGAGTCGGTAGAATATATAACTTACTCAAAAGGTTCTTCCCAAAAATAGGCTTGGCCCCGACAACTCAGTTCTATCGATGCTATCTCTCGCCAATGAAGAACAATTCCCCTGTCGTTGCCTCACCAAGTAAGTAGCTTCGAAATTATCCTGACATTGAAGTCCTCAATAATTTCTTTATGTACTACCCTCGTAACAAAGGTGGAAAGGTACAGGGTAATACTCCGTAAGCTTCTAAGGTGGGATTGTTGTTTTCTCATGTTTATCGTTCTATCATCGTCTTACAGATGTCATCGCCAAATCGAATGCCTTGAGTTATCTAGGTGTGTGACATGTTGCTCAATCATGCTGGAACCACACATGTTGTAGGTCAACTTGCCGAATTTTAAAAACCTCATATTAAATTGCTTCATATCGCGGTAATACTCACGATAATAAGGGAATCAAAGAATTACTCTCTTGATCTTGGTCAACATCTTTATGGTGTTATGACAATCCCTCAATTATCCTCAAAACATCTTTATGGCTTACTACCTGCTTAAATTCATAAGAACTAACGATATTCAAGTAATAACATTATAATAAGTTTACATCGATATAAAAATACGATTAAACAGAAAATAATTTATTTTGTCAAAGCGCGGTTTTGCTGTCGTTTGGATAATTTAATCGAAACCCACGAAAAGGATAATTTTTTTCATTTTAATTTGATTTCACCTGTTGCAAAATAATGATTTAATCTCCGCACATCAGTAATATAAGTTGCAGTTGGCAGTACATCAGTATGATATGTACTTGCATTTCAAGTAGATTACGATTGTAACCGAAAAAAAATAAGATGAAAGGGGCGATTTCTATATTGATCATCTTGATTGCCCTAATCTGCTTTGTGCCAATTGCTCGCTCATATACACCTCCAAGGTATGATGTGCTGCACTCACTCCAACCACACGGTGGTAAGTGTTCTTTTTCCTTTGACTGCCGAAGAAGTATTGTAGTCGCGAAAAAAAATCGAAAATGTTAATGTCAACGCAGGTGCTCCCCAGGAATCGTGAGCTGGAAAAAAGGAGTCTAGTACTGTCTTTCGTCAGATAAGACCTAGCCTCGGGTACTGCTCACATGTTTGAGGTGCTGCCGCCCCGACTACATTATCCATTCTCGATGCTGTCCGACGGATCGATTACTCTTCTCTAATGGACAGTCTCGGGACCCTCTCGCACAGTCGGTGATCTAGCTCTTCTGCAGATATGTCAACGGGCTTTGCTCCCCAGAGCTCTCTTAGCTCTCTTCCATGATGCCGCAGCGCGATGTGCCGGCCAGACCGACCCGCCTAAGTTTGGCCTCCCATCCTAACCGTGTCAAACTTCGTACTCGTACATCCAGCACTGGTTGATATCACCGCTCTTTTGCCCCTAGGGTACCAACATTGTGGAACAATCTACCTAAGGAGGCTTTTTCCAATTCTATTAATATTAGACAGTTCAAAAATTGGATTAAGCTCTGATACGGATACAACCCAAAAGCGGTTTCAAGTTGTACCTACAATAAGTTCATTAGTATTTCATTTATATTTGTATAGCATTAATACCGTGGTTCCAACTTTTAAAAAAATATTAAAGATGCAGGTTTACCGTGAATCACATTAGGGTTTTCCAAACGTGACAAAACTGGTCTTCCAATAAGTTTTTCCACGCACTGTCCCTAAGGGCCCTATTTTCAGCATAAACATTAGGCTTCCGTCAGATTTAAGGAAAACAAAATGATAATATGGTGGTCATGTTCTAAACCTGCTTAAAGGCCGATTTCAATATACGAATAATTTCAATGCGGTGATTCCAACATTCGAGCGACAAATCTAAGATCATATCGTCTTCATTTTATTCATTTTTGATGGTGCGTATAAGATATTGGTAGAAGATACATCCAGTCAGATGTCTTGAAGCTGAAATTAACCGACAATATATCTATAGACACTACCGTTCAAACATTCCTTGGTGGTTTGAAGAACCAAATGGCTGCCGCGATGGAAAGATTGATATTTCAACTACTCGTAGTGGCGTAACAGAATGGAAATATTAACGCACTCACAAGAAAATAATGATCGATTATTCAAGCCTTGGAACTTACGTCGGCCATATATCTTTCTTGGAACATTGGTTAAGTTAGGTTATGTGTATATAAAGAGGTTTCTTTAATCAAATCAGAGACATATGAAATTCTCCTAATGTATAAGAATCTCGCAGGTAAATGAAAAATCGATTTTAGGATAATTCCATAATTTGTAGATATTTTCGTCTCAAAAAAAAAAATCGTTCAAAAAAAAATAAAATACGTCAAAGCTATTTTTGTTTTCTGATTTCCTTGTCAATACTAAATACGTATTTCATTTAACTTGATTTTGGATAGATACACAGAATTTGTTTAGACTTTTCTACAAGAAAAATACAAATAAGCAGTCATTGATTAATTTCATGTTTTCAATTATTTAACAATATAATAATAGATAATAAAATATATGTTTCATCTGGTGGAAAATACTGGTTTGGATTCCAACCACGACTCCTATTCTTGAAAACGAGGGAGACAAATCACTAAGCGAAAAGTGACCGTAGTTCTCTTCCCTGGGAAATAATATCAAATTCTGTTAGATGTTGAAATTTGTCAAACATGTTTAACATTAACAAAATTTATACCATTATCTACCTACTGGCTAATATACACAAGATACATGAATCACTTATATAGGTCTTTTTCCTTCAAAGCAATCAGAAGTCTGTTAAATGTCCTTACTCTATTCCTCAGAGAGTTTACTGCTACTTGAACTCCATGAATCCTTTTTCTTGGGGCCTGTATGACATTTTTCATTACGCGAAAGTTTGCTTCGCACATACAGGTGAGGAAAAATCATTACTGGACATCACCAACGTAACGGTTTTTTCTGAAAAGAAAATTAAAATCATTGTTTGCACAAGCTTAGTGTTTTTTCAATCGATTGTCCAATATCTCAATAGCATGAAATCAAGATATACTTTACAAACATGGGATTGGCAAACCATGGTCAACAACATAATAGTTTAAAATCCTGAAAACACAATTTGGATGACGATTAAAGTGATGCACACGCAAACAACCCAAATGTGTGAATGAAGCTTTCTCGCAAAATCAGTCAAATATCAAGCCAGCATTAGTAAGAAACGACCCAACGTTGCCACGTTTCATGCAAAGTCTTGGGCATAGGTGCATTACACTTGCAACTGTTTACGATATTCGCTCGGACACTGTTTCAGATTCATGGTCGCCACTGGATCATCGCACTTTTAGATGCATAGCTATCAAAGATCTACGACAGCAATGTGAATGATGGCAACAGCGTAAAATACCATAAATAGAACATTTGAATGACTGAAATGGAAATTTTGTAAACAGATATGTCTATCTCTATTTATCGTCGGTGTCTGAACTCATGGATTCATCATTTTTTCAACTGGCCAAATAAAAATGATAATCATGTTGCTTTATTATTTCAGCATATCCACTACGACCACGAACACGCGGACGTGCAATGGCAACAGGTGTAATGCAGTAAGTAAAAACATTACTATACATGTATAGGATGTCCCCAGAAGAACTGCATCGATCGTTCACTTGAAGCGTATGCGTTAGGCATACGAAAGTTTGGTGTTTCGGTAAAATTAATGGGAGAACTTCGGATAAAATACTTCCAAAATTGTAGCGCTTCCGATTACACCGAATATTTTAAATGAGATGTCCTGTGACTTATTTATTTTTTGGGTACCATTGATTGACATACTAAAGATGGACAATCATTGTATTGTATTTCGCCGTCCAAAAATTATACGAGATGAAATGAGATATCGAGTTATTTACGAGAATTTTTCACAGATATGATTCTCCTCCTGAAAAAGTTTGTATCTCATAGTTAGTTATGTATCCATCTACACCTTAGGAAAAACCATTGTTATACATGGGAAATCATTTCTTGGCAACAGCGCATCGGCTCGTCTACTTTCATCGCTATTCGTACATATTTCCTACCGTTAACGCGCGTGCCGCCGTCAAGTGCGATAAGGGATTCATGACTCACTCTGCGGTTGGCTTTTGTGTAGGAAAGGTGCGTCTTTATTTAATCCAAAATATCTTAAAAATGTACTCGCAAGAAGAAAAGTTTCAAATGATAGAATGGTACATCCAGAATAATTCAGCACGCGCGGTTGTTGAATTATTTGCGGTACGCTTCCCAGATCGGCCAATTCCGTCTCACGCAACGGTTATAAATACCTACGAAAAATTCAAGAGGGTGGGCTGCTTACATAAGTGCCATAGCTGCATGCACCCTGAAGGTTGGAAACAAAAAATTAGCGAGAAAAGGGAGGAGATCGAAACTGCTGTTTGTGCCGTTGCAGAAGTATCTGAGCCATGCTCAAGCAGAAAAATTGCTGAAATGGTACCAGTAGCCGATCTCACACCCAGAATAACAAGAAATATTTTGCATCGCAACGGCTATCATAGCTTCAAGGTTGGAACGGTTCAAGAAATATTTCCTTTAGACAAATACCGTCGAATGGAGTTTTGTGAAACGGTCATGGAGAAGGCGAACAGGGATGGAAGTTTTATTGGTAACATTTTGTTTACTGATGAATCCACATTCCCTCTCCACGGTCATCACAATCCTTCAGTCGTTCGGTATTGGTCTCGGGAAAATAAACACCTCAGTATTCCCGTCCGCACGCAGTATCCACAGAAACTGAATGTGTGGGCAGGAATTCTAGGTAATAACATTATCGGACCGTTCTTTATTGATGGAACTCTTACGGCTGCAAAATATTTGGCGTTACTACAGACGCAGATTGTTCCTGCAATTAGGCAGCTTGGCATTGATCTCGCTAATGTTTGGTTCCAACAAGATGGATGCCCGGCGCATAATGCGGCGATCGTACACACTTACCTTGAAAGTGTGTTCGGCCACCGGATTATTGGCGGGAACAGAACAATAAAATGGCCTCCTAGATCACCCGATCTAGCGCCCAATGATTTTTTCTTGTGGGGTTATGTGAAAAGTACTGTTTACACTATCAATGAGAGAGCAGACAATTTGCATAACCTACAGGTGAAAATCGTTGAAGCGCTCGGGCAAATACAGCCTTCTACCCTCTTGAGAGTTCGTCAGGAGTTTTATAACCGCCTGACATACTGTTCATTGAATGAAGGAGGCGTTTTTCAGCCCCAGCTGTGAAGCACCATTTGAAACATTTGTGTTCATTATTGCGTTTTATTTTTGAGAACTTATTTTTTTGTTAGAATATCTTTTTATTTTCGTTATACATTTTTAAGAGTGTACTATTTTTTGTTAGAGTGGGTATCTTCTTATTTTTGTTATGAGACGCAACCTTTATTGCTACAAAACCAATTATCTATTCATAAAAATAAGTAGAGTGATTTAGGTGATTTCGTGAAATCTCGAAATCACCGAAATCGGTTCACAGGACGTCCAATCGAACTGGTGCGTAATGCGCGCATCTACTGTACTTCTTCTGTCGACTCAACGCATACTGAAATTTGCAGCAGACCGCAGACCTGCATCACGAATGAGAATAATAGGCAGATACGCTGTGTTGCCAATTTGAGTAGAGCTTCCCGAATTGTTTGGAATTTAGAGTTAAGTGTTGATTCATTTAAGCTTTTAATCAGCATGGCCTAGACGTTAGAACTTCATAAAGATAACATTGAAGCTGAATGCTGCTGGAGTATAGTGTTTCGAATATTCAAAGCGGAGCGGGACACTATACTCGTTCAATGGGTCATCAAGCCACAGTCCTTTCAACAAAGAAATTATTTTACGAAAATGCGTTATATTTTTACGATTTTGTCGTCACCAAATCTCTGTTTCTCAAAATGTACGTCTATTGTACATACATTAAAAAATGTGACCTAGATACCTAACTGCCCCAAGCTCTTTAAATATAACACCTTAAACCAGGGTTACCAGGTGCTCAATCACGTTGATTGTCATGTTGTACTGCGCAAGTCACCAAACAATCTGGCGTAATAAACGTTAGGAATCATCAGGTATTGCCAGATTCCCGAATACCGGGCACCGTAGTACCCGTTATAGTTGTCCTTCAAAGTTGTCAAATCGCCCCTATGGCGCAAATTCGCCACACCAGGCAACTGTGCTATAAGCAAACCCTGTTTATCACTACTATTTGATAGTCATATGGTAGTTGTAGCCCTATCTAGCGGTCCATGATTTCTCTCAATACTGTTGTATCTCTACTGGCAACAAGAATAGGGATTACAAAATCATTTATACAACAATATACAAACATGAAAAATATGATTTGAACCATGAAACATTAATACAATTTCAATAGTTTGAACTTTTTTCATTTTTGGAATACTCTTATGTGGAATCCGCAGCTATTTTTCCCGAAATTTGGGTAGACTTAGATTTCTTAGAAATATGACATATTGGTATCGGCAACTCTGCGAATGGGAGAAACAAATCGCATTTGTTGAGCGCATCCGTCTAAGCGGCAGGCGCCAGCGCCCGTCCTGCCATCTCTCTTTTATCACTCTTCTACTTTACCCCGTTGTCCGTCACATTCCGACGCTGCCAGATAGGATCCTACAATCGAGTGTCTTTCACGCACCTACATACTTTTGTATATTTCCATCTCTCTTCCTCATCATAATGTATAATAATGGTTTTTCCGAAGGTGTATATGGTTAAGTGTAAGAGAAGCAGCCTGCTAAACTTCGCCATGTAAGTCTGACATTTGGCTATACTACAATGTAATTGTGGATAAATAAAGACGTCTATTATTATTATTATTATTATATTCTTATAATATATACTCACAAAAAATCTCTTAATCCAAGGTCACCAATTCGTATGAAAATATGACATTGCTTCGATATCACAGGTATTTGGAATGACAATTTCATGCTATCAAAAAAATATAGCCCTGACAATTAGGAAGTGGACATAAATATGCTTGAGAAACATATTAAAACTGCGATCCCCAATTCAAGAAAGTTGCTCCTTGAACAAAGACTTCTCTTTTAATTCCTACTCATCTGGATGCGGCAGTACTGCGAAAATCAGATATGTTTTCTGGGTGTTATATGACATATACATCACGAAAAACTATGTCACTTATTTTCGTCGGTGAATTTGTCTCTCCGCTAATCCTTGGCTGATCTATAACTTAAGCAGTACTTCTCCGATTTTGATGAAATTTTCACGCAAGGTGACCACCATTCCAGGTTAAAAACACGAAACAAAAAATATAGGGTTAAAAATTGGAGGTTGTAAGTGATGGGGGAGGGTATATCGCAACTTTTGGATGTTTATAATGATTTACCAATCTTGGTAATACTACACAGCTATTAGACATGTTTCGTACAATATAGATTTCCCCGTACATTTGACTTTAAAACTTCGATAAATTTTTTCGATAGGCGCTTCTGCTTAAGCTATCTAGGTTCACTGGGGAGCGCATACCGATCTAGTTCTTTGTCCTGCCAGTACTGCAGGGATGCTGCACTAGGTGCTGCCGCGTCGTTCGGTCAAGTGTGAGAATGGGCAACGCGCCAGATGGATCGTACTACCGACAGGGCATGGAAAGCATGTTTATGGACTATTTTTATGGGTCTCTTTAACTGACTTGATCCGCTTTTTCCTCAGTGGGCTTAACTTGTGCTAAACTTGATAGTTTATGAACTGATGGCGGCGTTGCGTTGGACAACCTACAACGCTATTTTATTATGTGAAAAAGAAAAACAAAATTTTTGGAAAAGTACGATATATTTTTGAACATAGTCTTCTTTTAGTTCGATACACTTGACCCAGCGATGCTCCAACTTATTTAACTCGTTTGAAAAACACCTGCAAAGTAGACCTCCTCATTCTACTCAAATTTCTGCTCGGCGAGTGACTTTATCAAGCTTGAAAACGAAAAGAAGTCGCACGGGGCCAAATCTGGAGAATACGGTAGATAGGACAGCAGTTCGTAATTTGGCCGTAGCGACAGCGGATATATAAGCTGGTGCGTTGGTCGAAAAACACTTTTCTCTTCGCCAAAACGTTTTACCCTTCTCCATATAGTCGATGTCGATCAAACCTTGTGAATCCCAGAAAACGGTTGCCATCACCTTTTCTATCGAGAGTATTCGCTTCCTTCGGAGCACGTTCGCCGGGTGAAGTCCACTGTTCGACTGTGGTCTCTGGTATGTACCAGTGGATTCTTGTTTAGTCGACGGTCACGAATCGACGCAGAAACTATTTCAGATTGCGCTTAACTATCGTCAAACACTGTTCTAAAATGGTCTTACGGTAGCGCTTGTTGCCCGGAGTGTCCAAACGCTGCACCCATCGCGCAGACAGCTTTCTCACACCCAATATCTCATGCAGGACATGACCCACGTTATCTTTTGAGGCCTACTGTCTCAGCTATCTCGCGCACCTTCAATCGGTAACCTGCCAATACGAGATAGTGGATTTTTGAAACGTTATCCTCCGTGGTAGCCGTTTCCGGGGCACCTGGGCGTGGCTCATCAAA